TCTCTCTCTCACACACACACACACACACACACACACACACACACACACACACACACACACACACACACACACAAACAAACAAACAAACAAACAAACAAACATTCGCTTGGGTTAGGAAAGTCTAGGATAAATTGCCAACCCACAGACAAAAGCACTGGTTTGAAAAGATGGGCTCAGAAGCGCAGCCATGCAGAGGAGCCGATGAAGGACAGCAGAAGCGGTGGCGTTGAAACCCACCTTGCGTCCGTGGCTGTTGTCTTCTTGCATGTTCAGCCACATACTGCAGACAAAAGGCTTGGATCAGCTGGCTAAGCCATAAGCACTCCTCGAATCCGCGAGGCATTTGGAACCAATCCAACAGAAACCTGTGAAAAGGAAGAATGTCAGAAAAGGCAAGCATCCGCTACGTAATAGTAAAATTGTATGTAATAGTAAAATCATAAAATACAGTGTGTAAAATGACATGATCACGATTCAATCACACAAACGACAAGCGATGGTTTCCACAAATAGTTCAAAAATTCACACATCATGTCTGGCAACAATGCTACTTGCAGACTGGCTCCGACACAAACGGAAATCGCTGAACGGTGTTTGACAAGTTATGGGGAATCTGGGGGGACTATCCGGCCCTGGCGAAAAAGGATCCGACAACGGGCCGCTTCACCTTCGGTTCGCTGTTGCAGAAATATGCCCCTGATTCGGGAGAGTTGAGGTGTAGGACGTAATAAGCTTTTCTAGGCCTTAGTAGTCTAGCTGCGGGCTTAGATGTACCAGTAATAGGGGGAAGGATTGAAAAGCGGCTGAGGGGTTGGGGGATAGATAAAGGGGGGTGAGCAGGGGGGTGAGTAGGAGGTGGCTGACAAAGGGGGAAGGTATAGCAGGTGGGAGAGGTGCAAAAATGGGACAAAAAGGGGTGCAATCAGGGTTATGGGAGAGTGATCCAGATAATGCTGTGCAGACACAGTTGGTATATGCATAAGAATAGGAAGGTAGAAGACGTTATTAGAAAGGATCACTCTCCCATAACCCTGATAGCACCCAGTTTGGGAAAGTGAGAAGACGTTATTAGAAAGGTGGGGCGATGGGAATATATAGGTGAGGAATGGAAAAATAGGGGATCGTATTATGCAAAGCCGGGAGTGGGGGGTAACAACAAGTGAAGGAACGGTCGGGGTGGACAAATATGGGAAATGCTGGTAAGGCCTAGTGGCTGGTGAGGCTCCGGTCAAGGGCGCCCAACAGTATCGAGATCGGGGCCTCCCCTATCAGCAGTGCATATAATGAGCGTCTGGGTACGTTGTTCTGTTTCCCGGCCATTATAGGGCCCCGGGAAGGGGTCAGGCAGAGAGGTGGGCGCCCCTTCCCCCCCTCCTCCCTCCCTCCCTCTTTACAGTGGCTCGGGCGGCAGGGGTAGCGGGCTGTTCCTAACTTGTCCTCCTTTCATGTAAACACTTGTTTTCTTCTTGCCGGTGATGAGCAACCGGACTCATGCCCGCCAGAATAGATGGTGGTGCAAGGAAAATGAGCAATGGCGAGATGACAATGTCCAGAATGCACAATCACATTGAAGGCCAGATAGTATCACAGTGTCCAGAAAGCAGAAATGCACCAATATAACACGAATGAAGAATCGTAACACTGAAAACCAATGTCAATGAGAGCTTGCTCTCGCCACCACCAACACGAGTGTCCAGGCCCTATCTCCCTACTTGGCGCTCGGCGCCCAG